CTATATATAAAATATATATATTTTATATATAGAATATATAGTTGTTTCTAGGTATATCCTATATGCTGGCTGCTGATCATGTTTATAAAATTAAAAAATAAATGGATAGTAAAATATACATTTGTTATATGATTTCATGTGTAATGTAAATAAATATGTATAAATTATATATAATATTATATATGTATAAATATATATGTATGTGTATATAGGCTTAATATATATATATATATATATATATATATATATATATATATATAGTTGTTTCTAGGTATATCCTATATGCTTATATATATATATATATATGTATGAACTGCGTAGGGGCATTAAAGAAAATTAAAGATTTCAAGTGAAGAATGTTGGATTGCCTTGGTTTTATCCAAACTCTGGAACTGCAAGAAAAATAAATAAACTTATTGTATAAAAAGATCGGATTAAACATTGTAATGATTATTGTTTTAACTAAATTATGAACTAGATTTCAGATGGTAACAACATTCAATTCAATTAAAATCAAAGATACATTTTATTGACAATACTTATTAAAGTATAGTATATGAAAACGCAACAAAAGAATAGCATGAAGCACATTGTTATTGTTTCAATCATAAGATTATGAATATCATATATCATGAATATATCACCGTAAATGGAAGAAAGAGAATTATGTTAGTAGAAAAATGAAAATGTTGTTAGTAGAAACATAACAAAACGGAAATTAAAAAAAAAATACTTAAGAAAATGATAAACCAATTGACGAACTAATTATAATAATATATTGGGCCTAGGCATAATAAATTTTGCGTTTTCGCAACTCCTTCGGCGCTCCATATATTTGTTCGGAAATAAACCGCGACCGAAATGAGGCGCTACCGAAACGAAGCGCGACCGAAATGATCGGCTACCATTGTATAAATGCGTAGGCCTACCGACTGGGTTAGTGCTGCCGCAGCCATCTCCCGCTGTCCAAGTCGTCCGCAAAATACGACACTAGTTGTTAATAATGAGTATTCAAGTAACATGAACACACTCTAAAAAAAGTATGAAAGAATTAAGTTTGAGAATCTTCTAAATCAATTGGTTTGAAAACAGTTTGAAATTACAACTTGATTATAATGAATACGTAGATGATTATAGGCCTACTTTTGCCATTTTGCAGTAAAAAGGAGGAGAATTTATACTTACGAGAACCCATCCCGTTCTTAAAAGTTCCTTTGTTTCTGTTAAAAACGTTGTACAGACGAAATGTTTGATTTTGGAGCAGCCTTGTTCAATCCACTTAAGTTGTAAAAGAAACCTTGATTCGGATGACCTGTTCGACATTTTTTATGTGTCTAAATGTAAGTTTAATGGCCGACTTCCTGAATGACTCGGATCCTTTACTGATATAAATGCATCCAGAACAGCTTTTGTGACAAACTGAGCAGTTTAGATTAGTTTCCGAAATGTGTGGTATATGATCAGTTGTAAGGATCATGGAGCTGATATATCTCTTCTTAACTCCATGCCACTATGTCTACCCTGGTATTCAAATTATTATTCGCGACCAAAAACAGGATCGAGCGATGCTTTGGGAATTGTTAATACAATTTATTTGAGGTCTCATATTTTATAGACCTTTTATTTATTCGGTGTCCGATACAGGCAAGTGGGTAATAATAATAGCTATTGTATAACGCATCATTCCAAGAAGGCGCCACTGTGCTAGGCTCTTCACATTATGAATATTAATTATTAAAGTAGCATTAAAAAGTGCTGCAAATAAATTGATAGTGTTCTTTTTCCCACGGTTCTTTGTCATATGCGTTGCTCCTTTACTTTGTTGGTAACTTTTAAAAGTGTAAGAACGATTGCTGTTGCTCTCTAACTGATACTATAATTCATATTTTGATTAGTTCCTCATTCTTTGTCTGATGATAGTGACTGACCCCTTTACCCATTTAGGCTTTTTTTTTTTTTATCATAATATAAACTCTTTCCATAAAGAAAATAATCCATCTTCGTTCTCTTTGAGCGCTTAATGACTGTGATTTTCAATTACAGTCTAATTAGATTGTCATCAAAAAGATATTTTGTACAATGTGTAGGATCAATTCCAAAGCTGTCTCTTATACACATCTAGATGTGTATAAGAGACAGGTGCTAGGCTCTTCACATTATGAATATTAATTATTAAAGTAGCATTAAAAAGTGCTGCAAATAAATCGATAGTGTTCTTTTTCCCACGGTTCTGTGTCATATACGTTGCTCCTTTACTTTGTTGGTAACTTTTAAAAGTGTAAGAACGATTGCTGTTGCTGTCTAACTGATACTATAATTCATATTTTGATTAGTTCCTCATTCTTTGTCTGATGATAGTGACTGACCCCTTTACCCATTTAGGCTTCTTTTTTTTTTTATCATAATATAAACTCTTTCCATAAAGAAAATTTTCATTTCATGAAATTTTTCATTTTATGAAAATAGTTGAACGAATAGTGAGTCGCCAAGTTTGCTATGCTGAAATTCGGTCGCCATATCAAATAGTTTGAATAGCAGGGGAAACATTATATTAAATACGGTTTATTAACTATCGAGAAAAAATCTCCATAAAGAGACGTATCGAATAAAGGCCTATGAAGAGAGGCTAAACCTTTAAATCTAAGTATTAAGCGTTATAGTTCAAAGATTAGCTAGTGTTTTATGCTGATAGCATGCTGGAAAAACATCTTATCACCAATGAACGCGTATTCAGGTCTGTCAAAATGTTAAATAAGTAGAAAACTAAAAGAATGTGAGGACAGAAGTACACAAAGATCAAGCACTAGCCGCTCAGATGCTCAGAACAAGCCTTGTACACGAATGTAGGAAGCTACCCCTGTCGAAAGCCACCTAACAATGGATTATACCATTGTAAGGTGGGGGTGGTGTGTTTGTTTTGATGTTGGTCTACAATAGGTTTTGGCCGTAGTGCTAGGAGACCTCTTTTATTCTTTTGTGTATTATGAATTACAAACTGGGTGTAGCCTACATATATCTGTTGCTTTTGTTTGATTTACAGACATGATTTTATTGGCCTGCTTGATAGAATATAAGAAAGTATAATACATACTCCAAGTATTGAAATACACGCCATCGTGTTGGGATTCAATATTTCGACATTAATTATGTCATCATCAGGAATTGATTTCTGATGATGACATAATTAATGTCGAAATATTGAATCCCAACACGATGGCGTGTATTTCAATACTTGGAGTATGTATTATACTTTCTTATCTGAGATTAATCAGTGGACCTTTCGGTTTTTGATAGAATATATTGTGTTAGTTTAAGTTTATTTGTATTGTTTAGCATATAAGTTAAACATTCTTTTTCAAAAATTGTTTATGTATGCCTAGTTTTAAGCTTGCTTATTGTTTGTAATTGGATGCACCACCATTGTGTTATTCCTAACAAATTGTTATTCCTAACAAAACACAGCGAAACAAAATTCGGTAGCACGATTCTCAGAGTTCTTTTTGTTGAATTTATGTCAATTCACTGTTATGGTACAATAGCTTTTTATACTTAATTTTATTTTATCTATTGTGAAATCGAATATTAGAACCTCTAAAATCATGGCTCTGGTGACTAGCAGGCTTCATCCATGAACCTTGCCATTCTTGGTGCCTTTAACAATCGAATTACTCAATGTATAGGCCTAGGCATATCCACTTAATTTTTGAAAATTAAAAAAAAACAACTAATCTATTTCAATCAGCCGAAAAAAGGTGTTTTTTATGCAGGTAGGTTTAGCCCTTTGCAAGTTGTAAGTTAATCACTACGCAACTTACCTGCAGAAAAAATAACTTAAAAGAAAGAATCAGAAACTATTAATCAATCAGCCGAATACTCCTAGAGCTCATCAGTGAAGCTAAAAGGACAATATATTTTGGTGACATAATCCTGTCTCGTACAAAACTTGCAGTTTTGCTAGAGCGAGACCTGTTCAGAGCCATATATATAAAGAGTTGCGACATTCCGCTCCTTGGTTTACGAAAATCACGTGGTACACACCGTCCATTTTGTTTCATAATCTTCCCCAATGAACACATGCAAAGTATATGTGTTATGTACATTGCATATTAATTTCACACACTTAATTGGGTTTACAATTATATTTTATAATTAACATCACTTAGTATATGGACAGCGTATAAGAATTCATATATAATCGAATATTTGCGCGCGTGCTTGCTGGCGTAAATTCCGTGCTCGCGTAAATGATTGAAATTAAAATTAGAATTGTTTTCAATTATCGTTAATTCGTCACATTTTAATCAACGAAGACCCGACCTATTTTATTTAATGGTAATCTTTTCTTTGGTTTTAATTTTTTTTAATAGTTGCATTATTACACTCTTTACGTTCATCATTAAAATTTTATTTTTATTTTCTCATTCGCCTAGATGCGTTCGGAAAAACATTTAAGCTAAATAAGGAAAAAAAAATGTCGCCCTTTTCTGACGATCTTTAAAAGTTGTTCGCTAAACAATATTAAAAATTGTTGTTCTTAATTTCAATTCTTTGTACAGCCTGTATAAATACGAATAACAATGAAAATAAAGGTGATGTTTAATAATCTTAAAAATGACTTGCTGTTTCTATTGCATACTATTATATAATTATTATAACATTATTTTGGAAACGACGCTTTTAAAACAGCGGACACGCTCTTGCAGTGTGTTTATAAAAGTAACATACTGTACAGCCATAATACAATAGTAAAATAGAGGCGAGACTTTAAATACAATAAAATGTACGTTACATAATTACACAAGAAAGTATAATACATACTCCAAGTATTGAAATAAACGCCATCGTGTTGGGATTTAATATTTCGACATTAATTATGTTAATGTTATGTTACACAAGTTGAATATATCACAGATCCTGTATATCATTTATCACTTACAATTTATAACATTTACAGCAAAGCACAGTTTATATATTGCGGCCAACTGACCTATACTATTTTAATATTTATAAATAATAATAATAATCAAATTAATAACATGAGATTTGTATATGGCTCGCTCATATTCAAATTTAAAGAGCAACAATCTATATACCCTAGACGGATTTAAATTATAAAAATATACGTATTTAATTAATTTTTGATGGTTGTCACATAGGCCTATCATTTATTTGCAAAAATAATAGGAACTACTTAAGGATTGCCTAATTAAAGAATGCTTGTCATCGAGGGGCTCTCTCGGCCTATCGGCGAGGATTACAGAACTGCTTAAAAATAGTAAATTATTACAGTATTTATAATATGAAATTGGATATAAAGTAGTGAAATCAATAAA